TTTGGTTCTAGTCTAGCCAGAGTCTGAGGGCCAGGAGCTCTGGGGGCGGGGCGGGGATGTTAATGACACTTGTCCGTGTGGAGAGAGCCTCGGGGAAGCGATGAGGAGCTCTGCCCTCTGCAGCGAATGCCACACACATCAGTGATCTGAGTGACCGGGCCAGCCTTGAGAGGCCACGCTGCGAGGCGTGTTCCAGGGAGGATGCCAGGCGCACGACTGGACAGAGCGGGATTGTCTCTGCAACAGCTGCTCCGGCCGAGCTGGTCTAGGCCCTGCCAGGCTGGATCAGAGCCCAGGGTCATCCAGCCCGGTATCCTGTCTCCACTGCTGCTTCCCAGGCCTGGGGAGTTTGGGGTAACCTGTCTCCAGGGGTGTCTCCTACTCCTCCGGATTAGAGGTCGGCTTGTGCCAACTGTGACGGAGTTTTCCTGTTGAAATTGTTTAATCCACGGCCATCTGGCCAGGCTTCTTGGCCACTGACTGTCGGGTAGATGGCAGAGGAGCCAAGACACAAAGTGGGAGGGGACCCGGGGGAGAACACACAAGTCCTGCACTAGTGCTGATGGCCCCTCAGCAGCACAGTGAGGACTGCAGGGGCCAAGGCAAACTGATTCACCGTCCCCCACCCTGGGCTGCTCGCAGTCTGTGGAGCATTGCAGCCCAAGTCGGGGTGCTGAGAGCCCGCATGGCCAGCTGACCCAGGAGGCTGTATAGGTGCAAAGACCCTCCCCATGGGGAGAACATCGGGCATATGCCGGGGGCAGCTCCATAGCCTGCCAGACCCTCGTGTCTGTTTTCCCCAGTGCACGCAGCCTCTGAGCAGTGACCCCAGTGTAAATATCACAGGGAGATCTCACGGCTCCTGCTGCCCCAGCTAGGGAGGAGATGGCCTCACCTGGACGGATCCCAGCTCCTCTGAACCTCCGGAGTATCCCAGTAACTCCAGCTGTGATATGAGATCTGTGGATAGGGGAGCTTGGTGTCTGGGCACCAGCGGCTAGACACAGCTGGAGCAAGCCATGGAGACGTCGTCCCGGCGTGGGAGACTTCACCCCCAGCTCGCAGGCTGGAGGCTTTTTGATGTACCGGTAACAAGCTCCTGCTGCCTGCATGAGAACGAAGCATTCCTAGACTCAGCATCGTACTAGGAGGTGACATCTTCCAGAGAGAACCTGCGCCTTGATGAATGACCTTGGGAGTGGAGGCCATCTGTTCCCAGGCCGCCAGCCGCTCCTAGGCCACCAGCCACAGCGGGATGTGTCTTAAGTGGCTCGACGTGGCAGTACGCCCAGAGTAGGAGCAGTAGTTCTCTGTCATGGCAGTAGCCTGAGGCTCAGTGGGTTAGGTGCCTTCCTGGCCGTGGTACGGGGTTGGGGAATGAAGGGCCCAGCCTGGAGACCTGTGACGGAAATGCGGCGGCACACACGGCACTTGCTGTGAGCGACTCGGTGAAGACTACTGGCCGGGCTGCGCGGAAGCCCTGGAGGAGCGGTCAGAGGCACAGCCTGGCCCCTTCCCGGCGCTCGCAGCTGCCGCTGCCCCTTGGCTGTGCGTGAAGCATGGCCGGGAACCTCTTGGCAATTGGGGAGAGATTTGGGCCGATCCTGCTGGATCACTGGCCGAGCAGCTGGGGTCAAGGAGGAGATTGGTTCGGTGACACATTCGACAAGCCCTTGGGAAGGGGGTTTGCCCAGGAAAAGGGTTTGCCCGACCCAGGTGAGCTCTCTTGCGCCAGGCGTCCCTGTAATCCGAACATCAGAAACCAAGGAGCAGAGCGAGCCCGTGGGAGAGCGCGGTCATGGGCAAGAGAAGGAGCAGCTGGAGACGTGCCCAAGGGCGATGATCAAACGAAGCGTAGAGCAGCAAGAGGAAACACGCTGGGTTTCTGGAGCAGAACTTGGAGGGAGGGGAAGAGAACAGAACGGTGGTTGGAGGGGGAGCTGGTGGGGCTGCAGTGTACCTCCTCCTGGGGTTAAAGGCTCTCCTGCTGATCGGTGTAACGGCTCCAGCCCTGGGATTTTGGCCCGTGCTTTCTCTAGGTGCTGCCTCCAAGTCTGGTGCTGTCCCAGCCATTCCGCTTCTGCTTGGCTCGTGCTTTGTAGCCAAGATTACAAGAAGAGGCCGTACCGGGTCAGAGCAAGGGTCCATCCAGCCCAGTGTCCCGTCTCCGACAGTGGCCAGTGCCAGGGGCCCCAGAGGGAGTGAACAGAACATGATCCATCCCCTGTCATCCTGCCCCAGCTTCTGACAGAGCAGGGGGTTGCCTCCCTGACCATCCTGGCTAATAGCCATTAATGGACCTGTCCACCAGGAACTTATCTAGTTCTTTTTTTTCAATCCAGTTATACTTTTGGCCTTCACAACATCCCCTTGCAAGGAGTTCCACAGGTTGTGTGTGTGTTGGGTGAAGAAATACTTCCTTTTGTTTGTTTTAAACCTGCTGCCTGTTAATTTCATCAGGTGACCTCTGATTCATGTGTTATGTGAAGGGGTAAATAACCCTTTCCTAGTCACTTTCTCCACACCAGCCATCATCTTATAAACCTCTGTCATATCCCCCCTTAGTCGTCTCTTTTCCAAGCTGAAAAGTCCCAGTCTTACTAATCTCTCCTCATACGGAAGCTGTTCCACCCCCCTAATCATTTTTGCTGCCCTTCTCTGACCTTTTCCAATTATCTCTTTTTGGGGATGGGGTGACCAGAACTGCGTGCAGCGTCCCGGGGTGGGGTACCATGGACTGGTACAGTGGCATTAGGATATTCCCAGCGTTCTGTTCGCTTTTTTGACGGCCACTGCACATTGAGTGGATGTTTTCAGAGAACTATCCACGCTGACTCCCAGATCTCTTTCTTTAGTGGTAACAGCTAATTTAGACCCATCATTTCATATGTACAGTTGGGATGATGCTTTCCAATGTGCATTACTTTGCATTTATCAACATTGAATTTCATCTGCCATGTTCGTGCTCAGTTCCCAGTTTGGTGAGATCCCTTCGTAACTCTTCACAGTCTGCTTTGAACGTAACTACCTTGAGTAATTTTGTATCATCTGCAAACTTTGTCACCTCACTTCCATTTTCCAGATCATTTATGAATATGCTGAACAGCACTGGTCCTAGTACAGACCTCTGGGGGACCCCACTATTTACCTCTCCACACTGGGAAAAGTGACCATTTCTTCCTCCCCTTTGTTTCCAGTCTTTAATCAGTTACTGACCCATGAGAGGACCTTCCCTCTTATCCCATGACAGCTGACTTTGCTTAAGAGCCTTTGGTGAGGGACCTTGTCAAAGACTTTCTGAAAGTCAAAGTACACTATAGCCACTGGGTCCCCCTTGTCCGCGTTTGTTGACTTCCTTGTAATTCCCCTGCCCAGCTGGGACTGGTCCTGAAGGCTGGGGAAGGAGGAATGAGACTGGAGCCGTGAGCCTAGCAGGGGACACCCCAGGCTGTTGGAGACGTAGGCTCCCACGCTTTGTATTAGTGGACGTGTGCACTGCTTAATCTGCGCCGTGGCACCTCTTTGATTGCAAATTAAGCACTGGCCGCAGGGCGTGCCCTGGTCCGAGGGGCTTGAGGAGAGGACGGCAGGAGAGGGAGCTCTGCCCAGGCCGGGTGGCTGTGGCCATAGGTCTCTGTGTTCGGAGGGGAGGCAGGGTTACATCTTAGGGTGACAGACAGCAGCAAGGGCCAGGAAGGAAAGTGTCCCCCCAAGCCAGCGTGGGGGGAGTGCGCGGAGCTGTGTGGGTGCAGCCCTACAACTACCCCAGCTTCGAGCGCCATGGAGAATCTGTACACATGGGACCTGGGGGCTTCCCCAGCCGCTGGTGCAATTCCCTGCCGGCCAGGCCCTGCCCCGCTGCTCCCCAAGAGAGGTGCAAAACAGGCGGGGTCGGTGCCTCTCTCCCCCACCCTCTGAAAAAGGAGAGACCGGCTCTTCCTGGAGCACCTGACGACGGGCCTTGCAGCTGGGCTGAGCCAGGCACCAGCTGCTCCCACTGCAGCTTCCGGGGCCTACGGGATCCAGTGGCTCCGGCTGGCGGGCGGCGCTCATTGGTTACGGTGTCGAGTGGGCACTTCGGTGCTTTCTCTGGGGCTGCCCGTGAGCTGGGGAAGAGCTGCCTGTAGACGGCCGGACGGCTCCCTCCGTCAGCCCCCAGCCTGCGCTGCACTGGGAGGCAGCTGGGCCGCTGACCCCGCCCAGCAGGCTGACGGGCCTGGCCCCACATGGCTCTTGTCCTTTACTCCCATTGGAAGCACTGTGGGGCAGAGGCGTAGTTCTGGGCCTAGGCAATGTCCAGGGCCCCGCTCCCGGAGTGGTGCTACTGCAAGCCGAAGAACACCACGAGGCCGCCCACGGCAGGCGATTAGAGGCGCCGCTGTCTAACTCAGCGAGGGGCAGCAGAGCCGGCCTGATTCTAGCCACCCAGCTGGGCCTGAGCCCCCTCGAGGGTAGTGACTAAACCGGGGAGCTACTGGCCGGGAGGTGCAAAACACCCCCCGAAGCGCCCCGCCTGGCAGCCCGGCCACGATCATCCCCGCAGCCCCAGGGCAGAGCGGTGGGGGGGATGCCGGCGAGGGGCAGGGGCGGCTCCAGGCACCAGCGCTCCAAGCGCGTGCCTGGGGCGGCAAGCAGCGGGGAGCAGCCTGCCGGTCGCTGTGGGGACGGCAGTCAGGGAGCTTTCAGCAGCGCGCCTGCGGGAGGTCCGCCAGTCCCGCGGCTTCAGCAGCAATTCGGCAGCGGGTATGCTGAAGCCGTGGGACCGGCGGACCTCCCGCAGGCATGCCGCCAAAAGCCGCCTGCCTGCCGTGCTTGGGGCGGCAAAATCCATAGAGCCGCCCCTGGCAAGGGGCAGTCACCTGCCTCCCAGCCCGGCTGAGATCCAGGCAAACCATCGGGCGCAAAATAGCAGCAGCCCAAACAGCTCCAGGCAGGTTCAAAAGAAAACAAGCGTCGTGCAAAGCCGCCTCGGCCAGGAAAAACGCTGGGCTGGGCTGGGCTGGGCCGGGCAGGGCGGCGTCTCTCCAGCAGCTGTCGGGACAGGGCTGTTAACGGGTGGCACAGGGGGCTGGCGTGACCCACTCGGCTGCTACTCAGGGTAGGGAAGCTCCGTGATTTGGACGTGAACGAAGAGCGAGGAGGGTGGGATGGCCATGCCGTCCTTGGACAGGAGGTGGATGTGACGATAACCTGCAGGGAGACACCAGTGAGCTGGGTCGGACCCGGCAGGCCCCAGTGGAGGAGTTGTGGGCTCCCGGGCCCGGGCGGGAGATGCTCCCCTGGGGTCTATTGTAGGGTAGCTTCCTCCAGCCTGATTTCAACTGCCCCCAGTGTTGGGTCTCCCGCCCCCTCCAGCGTCTGTACCGCGCCCTTCTCCAGCACGGTGCCCAACGTCCTCTCTTCGTTCCTCGTTAGCCCCTAATGAGTCCCATGCTTCCTTGGGCAGGGATCTCGCATCCGAAACTAGCTGGAGCTCGCCCACTCCTCTGCTCTTCCCAGCCCACCCGCCCTCCCCCGCTGCCCGCCCCGTGCTGCCCTCCCACCGCCGCCCCCCCCCCCGTGGGGGGACTATCAGAGACACGGGGGCTTGGCTCTTGTTCCAGCACTCTCCTGGCTAGCTACTGCCCTCCCAGCCCTGGCACGCTCCCCCTGGCACTACCATGGCCACACAGCTCTGGCTGGAGCCCCCTGCCCTGGCCGAGCCCCCAGCGGTGGGGGGATGCGAGCTGTGGGCCGGGCAGAAGCAGGCGGGCCTGGCGCTCACCTGATTTGATGCTAGCGAAGGGCAGGGTGAACTGGCCCACGAAGTCGTTCCTGGACGTCTTGTCGTAATCCTCCACCACGAAGCGCACGAGGGCCAGTTCAGGGACGTGCACCTTGAACCACAGCGTCTCGCCCCAGCGGGGGTTAAAGCCTGGAGGGGGAGGGGGAGATGGGGTCAGGGCCTGGGGACCTCAGCCCCCCGAGCATGCTCCTCCAGCTGGGCCGGAGTTGCAGGCTGCTGGCGGGGCTGCCCCTGGAGGGGGCCAGGCTCACCTGCCCGAGGCCGGACTCACCGTTGTTATCGACGGCCTGGGTCTCCAGCCTGGCCTGGTCGGCGGGGACGCCGTGGATCTCCACGCGCACCAGGGGGTCGACGATGGCGCTCGCCTTGCTGCCGGCCACCTTGGGGAGCTGCTGCCCGCTGATGACCTGTGGCGACACCGGGCAGCGGCCGGGGGCCCCTGAGCTCGGGGAACCGGCAGCCGTGTGGGCCCCGGGAGCTCTGCCAGAGCCAGCAGCTGGGTCCTCTGCAGGCACGGGGCAGGCTGCTCCCCGAACACTGCCCGGGACGCTGCACCCAGGACCGGCCTCTGGGCCCCAGCTCCGCGTCTCCAGCCTGCCATGGGGCACAATGAAACCTCCCCAGCCCGCTGCGCCCAGCTGAGCCCCATAGCACCAGGCACCCCCTGCCCCCTCTCCTTTCCTGCCCGTGGAGAGAGTCCCCCAGGCAGTGCCCCTGGCGTACCTGAATCGCCAGGCTCCAGGGGCCGCCCCCGGCCCTGCTCCGGGGATTGTCGGGGTCGAAGGCGGTTCCCGCGTCCCTCAGGAAAGCCGGCTTCAGCACGTAGCCGCAGCGGGCGTTCTGCCGGAAGAGCCCGTCACACAGATCCATCTCCGCCCCGGCCGTCTGCACGTTCAGGGCCACTGCGGGGAGAGAGGCGGACGGGGCTTGTGGGGCTGCGGCAGCAGGACCCGGACACCCCTTCCAGCCGGGGCTCCCCACAAGCTCTCAGAACATGTGCTCGTTAACCCTTCTCCCCGCCCCCTCCCCCCGCTGAACTAGCGCACAGCAGTTTAGGCCAGGAAGTGAAGGACGCTGCTGTATCCAGGGCAGGGGACACTTAGCCAGGAGCCCAGCACCACTAGCCCAGCCCCTGGGACTGGTCACACTCATGGGTTGGGGGCTCAGTGTTACCGCTCATGGGGGCCCCTGGCAGCACAGTGCCCCCTACTGCCACTGCAGCAGTAATTGAGAGGGGCCGGCCCCTGCTGGCGGATCCCACGGGGCCCCAGCTGCGCCAGGCCCCGGTCGGGTCGAACAGGCCAGCGCCCGGCTCTCCCTCAGGGTGCCCAGAGCCCCGTGGCCCCAGGCCGGGTCCCTAGGACCCTGGGGTGTTCACTTGGGATTGGGGCCCAGGGTCCCACCCCGCGTCCCCCCTCGGACCCCAGCCGGGCCCTACCGAGCTGGCAGCCCACGTTCCACATCTCCTGCGGGTCATAGTTGGAGGAGTCGGTCCTCAGCCCGCTGGGGTAGATCCGCGTCAGCTGCTGGGCGTTGTGACGGACAAACTCGTTCCCTGGGGGCAGGAGACGGTGACCCCC